ATGTCGTTCCATCCAAACACTTACGACTTTCGTTCATCTTCAGAACACAAATGAAGATCGTGGGGTGTCTGTCCCTCCAGAGACAGCTACGCAACTACTACCTTATAGATTCAAAAAGTTCATAAAGAGATAATAAAACTACTCCATGTGAATTGAACGGTTTAGTCCAACTTTCCTGAAGAGGCTAGATCACTTTATATGATGAACAGGTTGAATGTAGGCTTTTATATGAAACGTCAAAGTGGTAGTTGAGTTGCTGTCAATGAAGGGACAGAAATGTCTTCGATTTCATCAAAAAGATCTTTATTGGTGTTCCAAAGATAATCGAAAATCTGTCAGGTTTGGAACGTACATTTCACATATTTTAATAATATTACTTGGTATATATATGTTACTTCACAGTTAATATAATATTACTTAATATTATTACATTCTAGTATTACTTTCTAAAGACTGTTCAGAAATTATGAGATTTTATCTAATTTCTAGGATTAAGATCTATCCAGTTATAAAAATGTAAACTTCTTTGTGAAATAAAAAAAATATGTTAAATATATGTATATAAATAATATATATTTGAACGTAATTCGTGTATATATATATATATATATATATATATAATCTAAATAATTTGTCGTTAACAAAGATTTGTATTACTTTAACAGTTTTATTAAAAACAATATAACAATTATAGATTTTTTTAATTTTCCCATTTAATATATATATACTGTATATAATGTATTATATATTTTGTATATAAATCGCTCAAAAGATTATGCGATTTCGGACACAGCCTACATGTTATGGTCTTTCTGCAAGGGGGTCGGTAGATTTTGTTGTCCTTTGAAAAGTTTGAAAACCCCTGGTCTATATTGTAAATGCCACAATACTGCCACCCTAATGATCAACAAATTTATGACATTTTTACTTTTGAATTTATATAGCATCAATTTATGTTGAATGAGGTGAAAAATCATGATTTAGTTTTCTGTCCCTCTTCCTCTCTGTTGACAGTGTGGATTACATGAATTCTGGGCCGCCGCCTCCACCACCTGCTGTTATCCCATCAGCACAAACTGCTTTTGCGATGCCACCCATGGGACCGGTCCCACCTCCAGGACATCTAGGACCAATGGGAGTAGTCGCTGGTTATGGCCCACCCATTCCACCTACCTCTGTACCAATGGCTGCCCCTCCTCCACCTTTAGCCCCACCCCCTCCCAGTGCAGCCCAATCCATCACTCCCAAACGGCCCTCTGTGCCTAACGAGGCCCAACCCACCAACGATGCTCGCAGCGACCTGCTCGCAGCTATAAGAATGGGTATGAAGTATTTTTAGGTTATGAATATAAGCATTTTACACTTGTTATACACAAACAATTGTTTTGTTTTTAGATTTCATAAGCTTTACCGTTATAAAACTCACCAAGGCTGCATTTATTTAATCAAAAATACAGCAATATTGTCAAATATTATTAGAATTTAAAATAACAGTTTTCTATTTTAATGTTTTAAAATTGAGTCAAAGCTAAATTTTCAGCATCATTACACCTGTCACATGACCCTTCACAAATCAGTCTAATATGCTGATTTGCGGCTCAAGAAACATTTTTTCTGCTTAATATTTTGTGGCAATTTTTTCAGGATTATTTGATTATTTTTTAATAGAATATATTTTTTTTCATATTATAAATGTCTTTACTACAACTTTTGATCCTTTTATTACATCCTCCTTACTGAGTGCAAGTATTCACTGACCCCATCTGACTGAACTTGTTAGCAACAATGAATATTAATATTTTTCTATATAAATTGCAGCAGTTCATAATACATCATATCATGAACAATTTGAACAGTCAAAGCATGAATCAACCCCTGACAATTTCTGTTTTCCACGCATCCTTTTCTTATTTTATCCCTGCGTGTGGGCAGAAACAAACCATATTGAATAGTGAAATTGCTCCCTGTAACATTAACTTCTGTGTCTCGCCTACACTGGACTACAGTATCTCACAGGAGATGGATCATATGAGCTCCACTGACTTCACTTCTTCGTTCATTTCCAGAAAGTTAAACTTCTGTAAAGTTGCCGGACACGCACGCCCACAAACTCTTGTTGAGTTACTGATGTTTGTTTGTTTGTACTGCAGGTATCCAGCTGAAAAAGGTTCAAGAGCAGCAGGAACAGCAGGCAAAACGAGAACCGGTGGGCAATGATGTCGCCACGATCTTGTCTCGCCGCATCGCTGTGGAATACAGTGACTCTGAGGACGAATCTGAGCTGGAGGACAATGATTGGTCTGACTAAAACAACAACACTAATGCACAAAATTCACAGACACTTACTTGGTAATTTACCTGCGAACAATAAAATTTGCATTTCCCATACACAAAATTATCTTGTACTGAATGCATTTTAATAAAGGCGTGATAGGCTGTCTGTATTATGGAATAATCAGATAGTCAGTCTTTTCCCTGAGCTACCACATATGATGCTTTTTCCATTTTTTCTAATGCTTTTTAATGCAACACTTGTTAATACATGATATGGATATACTGTATGTCGTGAATAGTAACTGGAATTAAAGATTTAAAAAAGCATGTTGAGGTCATCAAAAACAGACTTTTTTGCATGCAAGTTTTTTGCATGTATGTTGAGAAACATTGAGGTCAGTAATTATAATTGTGTGAACTGGCCTGAGGTGTTCGATTAAACTAACTACCTGAAATGTTTTTTTCTTGGTAATGTCTGGTGTCTTCGTGCACGTGTGCGGCGGTCGGCAGTTTCGCGGCAATAAAAATCTGACGAATCACGTTAAGTCGCTCACCTCAGTGCCTTTGTCATGGAAACAGGACAGTTTTGATTCCGAGCCTCATGTCTCTATGGAAACAGTACAGCTGAGCCTGGGATCGCCATGGCAACAGTGGATTTGAGGCACCCAGCCAATTGATGCGCAAGTGTGAATAAACCCAGGCGAGGATATTTTTAATGCACAGCACATTCTTTTAATACAAAATTAACAAGATCTCTCAGTTCATTAAACTAACCAAAGCAATAAAAGTATACAACCAACACCTTGGAAAAATATACAACACATTAACACAATGTTTTACAATGTTCATTAGTGCATGTTGATTATAATTCTTATAATATTGTTTTATTTGCAGATAAGTAATTTGTTGTGCCTTTTCTCATCAAAAAATAAAGTGCATTTCACAGTTAAAACTACGCATACGTGTACACAAGATGCTGAGACCGATGCACCCGACTGCTCCTCGGATACTTCCAAGATTTCGATTCTAGTATCTAAATAAAGTACAGAACGATTCTGAGTCCTACTGTAAATGTAGAAAGTTTCCTCACGAGACACCAAGCCAGAGGTGATTTCCTCTTCTATGCTCTTCAAATAAACCAGAACAGGAGACAGACTCCCATCCGAGCCCTTTTTCACCCTTCGCTTTTCAAGCTTTTACATTGGATTACAAAGCACAATCATCTACAGTTGGATACAAGACTATTTAAATCATGGATTCAATAGGCAAAGGTTCATCTGCATGTCGAAAATCCATCAGAGACCAGGCACAAAGCATGATAACATCATTTTACAAAGTTCTTCAAAAACAGACAGAGATATTATGTTTTAGTCAAAGAACTAACCCTCAAATGTCACCGCGATAATCTCTCGGTCATGTGCATCGGGCATTAACCCTCGGCCCATGGTTAATCTTCGCACAATAGAGTGATGTATGTATTTTGGTGGGCCCAGAAACAAGTTAGCATATTAGCGCCTCTGCTTACATCATCCTGAAATCAATGGGTTTTTGGTTAAACGCCTGAAACAACAAGCTCTAGATATTTTCAGGTCAGAAATACCCCCTTGTGATTTTTAAGCTTTTACTTGTTTGAAAAAGGCGAACAAATGGCTAAATGGGACTACTGAGTTTTTTGGGGGATATAAACATCATCATGCCTCATCTACTCACTCTTTTTATAATCGTGCTCATGCAAACTATTGTTACTTATATGGAAATAAAGACTGAACGAGTTCACGCCATGCCATAATTAACGTAATTACAAGATTCCAACTTGTATGCTGGGAATTTTCTAAAAGCCCCTAGTGTACCACGAGTCTGCTGTACTATCTGACTGCTGCAGATTAATTAATGTGTTGATGTAGCCTTACCTTATGTAACGGAGGCAAGCTAGTAAGAGCTGTGCGGGTAAACCTCACTCCCTTGATCTCAAGAGGCACTGAGTGCAAGAGGTCAGTTAGTAAGGGACTGTCCTAAATGGCACCCTAAACACTCGCGGTCTTCCTACAAATCTGCACTTTCAAGACAGCACTTTGACTGTCGGGAAGACAAATGGGACACCCTACGTTCTCATGGACCCGGACATGGCAGCCATTGTGCATATGAAGTGGGCCATTTGGGACAGGGCCTAAGAGCTGTGGGGGTAAACGTCACTCCCATGGTCTCAAGAGGTGCTCTGGAGAGATAGAGATGCATAATTCCCAGTCCGAGGACGTGAGAACCTCCTAGTTGGACGTCATGTGTTGTCTTCTTGAAATTATTGTTACTACGACTTGGCGTGAACGCAGTATTAGCGAGGGTGGCGGTGATGTTCGCTTACACGTCTAGCATTTAGCTATTTTTTTCTGGTGATTGTTCTTAGGATTCAAAAGTCATAAAAGTTTTGTTCATTACTAAAGAAAGACTATGGGTCTCATTTATGAAACACGACCAGAACGAATTTGTGTGTAAATCGTGTGTAAAGTGGTTCTGGCGTAAATTTTCGGATTCATTAAAATGTTCCTATTTTCCAAATGTTAGTTGGTAGTTGGTACGCAAGAAATCTACACCTGCTGCAGCCACACGTAAATAGTGCGCTTATCCGAACGTTTTGCTCGTTAATAAGGCTGCATTTTAATTCACCAATGGGTGCATATTTAAACAGCATTTTGAAAAAATATTTTATATAGTAATTACATTCGGTTTTTCTTTTTTATTATGAGAGCCAGTAATAGCAGATCTGGTGATCGATGGCGGTCCTTCTCCAGTTTGAATACGATTTTTCCGAAGTGAACTAATTCGTTTTGCTGTCAAGCTTTATGTCGTACCATTTTCTTTTCACTTCTGGGACTGTTCGATTAACAGATGAAACTCCATTAACTGCATCTGTAATATGTTGCCAAGCTTCCTTTTTTTGGACTGTACGCTTGAAAATAAAATGTGGCGTTTTGAATGAACTTCTGATAATTAAACTTCAATTTCTGCATCCGAGAAATCTTTCTTTTTCATTCGCATTTATGTTATTATATGCGTATAGATGTCAGTCTTATATAATGGGCGGGATTTATGGTAATTGAGAATGAACGTGCACGCGCATCCAATTTACGACTGATTGAAATTCATTAACACACACACACACATACACACACATTGATTTCACTATCACATCTGACGTTTACGAAGTATTTGTGAATCAGGAGAAGAGTTTTCGGGAAGGTCTCTTTACGCGCAAATCACCCTCATATTTACTCGTATATTTACGAATGTTTCATGAATGAGACCCATTGTGTGTATGAATCATAAAACTTTATTGGATTTTTTGCAACATTTCCTGCAATAATCCAAAAGCCAATGGAAAAATCCTATTAGGTTTATTTGTCAAGGAAAACCAAGTTGATGATAACCTCGGGTCTGGCCTACAAATACGCATCACTCCAGCCCCATCACACCAGGTGAGAAATGCCATCATGCCTTCTTTGCAGGATCAAAACGATCGGTAGAATGCCATAGCAATGATAAGAACGTCTTTGTCGATACATTCAGAGCGCACCAGATTACAAAAAAATGGGAAGAGGGGAGGGTTAACCTGCAACAGACCGGTCATCATCTCCATGCTAAGCCCTATTAAAACTCGCATACCTGCTTGCTACCGCTCATGTGCTGTTTCACTGGAATCGTATAGAGGTCACTCAGGCAAAAAAGGTCACGAGGGTGTGTCCGACCCGCAGGCACGATGTAAAGATGGCACGATGGGAAGACTGGTAGCCACTCTAGCCCATGCATGCAGGTCTATGGGGATTATACATTATTACCCCCAACTCCATCATTGTCCCTGGAGAGACAAATATGCATGCGTTCAAACGTACACGCACACACCATGCACCGACAGTCACGCATTCACTTTCCTCATACATAACATCGCAAAAGCAAATGCATACGGCAGAGTAGGTCACGTTGGGTGTACACAGAGATTTCATAGTTAGATATCGTAATCGTGCGATATCGAGCGCAGTCACTTTCTGGGGAGAGAACACGAGGCAGTCAGATTATGGACATGTTTGCAGGGATTGAGACATCTGTCCAGCTCATGTTTTTTTTTTTTTTAATCCCAAATTTACTCACGTTGAAATAAGTGCAGTTGCTGTTCTTAGAATCCACTTGTATTTTCATGGTGAGTTATTCATGGATGTTTTTTTCCGGCTAGCTGAGGTGTTGGTTTTGCTTCGACATGGCTGTTATTGCTGCCAGAATATTGCTATAATTTGATGAAACTCCCAGTCCGTAGTTATTGCTCGCTGATGGATTCTGCCACTGCACTGAAATGGATAGTGGCTGGTTGGCATTTGGAGGGCATAAGGTAAAAACAAGGGTGAACTTCAGCTCATAATAGCCTGACTCCAGCCTCAGTTGTAATGAAAGTACGATAGATTTTTATAATATTCTCCCTCGTCTGACATTTGCCAGCTCTGAGAGGCCAGCTGTTCTCTTCATCATAATCTTGTCATGTGGACTGGTTGAGGAGATTCACCAGTTTACTGAAAATCGTATTGACTGTAAATCTGCTGATGGCTCATTTTAAAGTGGAAGAGTATGAAGGCTGGCATATAATTTAAAGGGACAGTTCACTTTAAAATATTTTTTGATATGTTTTAGCTTACCTCAAGGGCATCCAAGATGTAGGTGTCTTTTTTCCACAGTATTTTCAATTTCGATATTTTTAGGTCAAACCGTTCTTGTCTGTCAGTCATATAATGGAGGTATATGGGGTCCACCTCAAAGAGCATGCACAGAGAAGTCCAAACTAAACATGATTTTATGACTCGTAAATGTAAGTACACACTAATGGCCTAAGACACGAAACGAGTAGTTATCAATGTGTATCAATGCAACGAGCGCAGACAGAAGCGCCCTCGCCGTATTTTTTTTAGAGTACTTGGACGTGACTGTGCATTACAAGAGGTAAAAACGATATACTGTAAATACTGTTCGTTTTCTCACACAAACTGCTCGTTTCGTGTCTTAGGCCATCAATGTGTACTTACATTTACGAGAATACATGCCAATTTTAAGCAAAATGCTATGAGCAACCATTGTGTGATAACTCTCCCGTATCCAGTAGTAATTACCAGCTGAACGTGTTAAAAGGAGCAGTGCTCTGTTTAAAATGAAAAGCAAATCAATAGAAAATACATTCGGTTCAATCCGCATCATGTCGCCCAAATAAACAAACCTCTTATTGTCACAGACACTTAATGCACGCTTTGTAATCAACAGTTGTTTGAAGTGATGAGCCTCTATTCACAGGGGGCTGTTTCAATGAATAAACATACACTTTCTCCCAGCTCACGCTCGCTTTCATCCTGCATTTATGGAAGAGGATAGCCTACGGAGAAGGTCCGACTTCCTATGAAAACTAAAATAAAGGCATCGACGGGTACGTTTATTTATAGAGTGGTTCTCATTCTGAGAATGCAGTTAGCTCTTCATGGTTTTCTGCTTTGGAGGACATTTTACATTCGGCCGAGATTTAAATCAAACAGAGGAGAGAGCGCGCCTCTCTGCCTCTCTCTCTCTCTCTCTCTCTCTCTCTAGGTTGGTTTCTTTGGAGGACGCAAGGCGCGGATCACCGAGCGCCTCGTCTATTTTTAGCACACCGCGGTTACTTAACGTTCAGCGCACGTTCTTGAATGCAGCAAGAGATGAATGAGCTTTGGGATCCAGTCTAGAGGACCGCCTTGCGCTGCCCTCCTCCTCCCTCAAAGCCCGTGCAACAGGTGGCTGCCACTGGGGCCAAGCCAAAACAAGCACAACAAATGCAAAGGCATATATGTACAAGATATTTACATCTGCCTGCCACACAGCATCCGTTTCCACCCCTTTTTTTCCTGGACAGGGTGTGGCAGCTGGTCGGATCAGGATCAGGCAAAGATTGTGTGGCAGTGGTTGTCACAATAACAATAGGGGAAGACATAAACGGGTGACGGGCACACACCCCTTCTTGTCGGGAAACCTGTGCAGTTCCCTGTAGGCACATCAGACGTCGCTGGGAGTCCGTGCCCTTTGCGCCACGCTGGCAGGGATACATCCACAACACACCAGCCATAGAGCTTTCTGGATCTCTTGATTTCGGAAGGCGTAAATGACGGGGTTGATGACCGAGTTGTAGGTGGCGGGCACCAGGGTGGCGTACGTGTAGAGTGGCGGGTACGTGTAATCGGCTATGAGCGAGTAGACGGTAAAGGGCATCCAACAAGTGGCGAATGTGCCCAGGATGATCGCCAAGGTGGACACGCCTTTCCGCGTCGTGACATAGTGAGGGCTCGCTGCTAAAAAGTGGTGCTGGAGGGAGATTTGGTGCGCATGTCGCATGACAATTTTACAGATCTGCATGTAAAGCTGTAGCATGAGGCCGAACAGCAGAAGGAAGGACACGGATAGAACCGCCACGTTGTTTTTTGTGAGGGGCCACACCACGCTGCAGCTCGCCTCCTGGCCCAGGCAGTTCACACCAATAACAGGCAGCAGACCTAGACACAACGACACTCCCCATAGAAGCACGAGCATGGTGTATGTGAAGGCAGCCGTCCGCTCAGAGTTATAGGTGAGGGCGTAGTACAACGACAGGTAGCGGTCAATAGTGATAGCCAGCAGGCTGAACACCGATGCGGAGAACGACGCCACCACCAAACCCACAGTCAGAAGCTGTGCCGAGTCAGAGCGAAGCAGGTAAGCGAAGGTAAAGTGCAGGACTAACCCCAAACCGGCAAACAGGTCAGCAAGAGCTAGGCTGCCGATCAGCAAAAACATGGGGGCGCGTAGAGCCGGGTTCTGCCAGATGACCAAAACCACCAGGGCGTTCTCGCAGGCTATGAGGGTGCCGGATGAACACAGCACGATGTCCCACGGGTTTACCAACAGCTCGGCGGGCGGCCTCGCCGGCAGGACGACCGCGGGAGGGTACGTTCCGACGGTGACGTTCTCGAAGTTCCCCGCTCCGCTGCCGCCCCACGTGGGTTCTTGAGCCAGCCAGCTGGGAGAGACTGACAACTCTTCACTCATTCTGCCTCCCGTCTAAAATGACACACAGAAAAACATTCTGATCACTAAGAAAAAATCTTTTAAAGGTATACTCCACTTTTTCCTTTTGGAAATAGGCTCATTTTACAACTCACCCAGAGTTAAACAGTTGGGTTTTACCGTTTTTTAATCCATTCAGCCGATTTTCTGATATTTAGAAGAATATCAGTAACCAGACCGTTTCTGGTCTCATTGACTTCCATAGGAAATACCATAGGAAATTCTTCTAAATATCCGAAAATCGGCTGAATACATTTGAAAACTGTAAAACCCAACTTTTTAACTCTGGGGGAGTTGTAAAATTAGCTTATTTCCAAAAAAAAAGTGGAGTATCCCTTTAAGAACTGTTTCCTGAAAGGTTCTTTGTGGAACTCAAAACAGTTCTTCTCGCTGATATCACACCATGCATCACAGAGACGTCTATCTGATGTGTGTGTTTACATCTAGAAGATGTATTTTTTTTAGAGTGTTTGCTCATCAGCAATACATCTATAGGACGTTTCCTGTCAGATGTCAAATAGACGTTTAGAAGATGTAATGATTTAGAATGTATGTTAAACTGACATCTTAAAGATGTCTATAAACAGCAGATGCTTTCCAGATGATTTATTTATTCCAAGCCTGTATAGCTTTCTTTTATATGCTTAGAAGTTAAATTGTTCTTCAAGGTCAAGTTCTTTTAAATGCTTTGGATATTTTGAAGAATGCTGTTAACAAAACAGTTTGGTCCCATTGACTTCCGTTTCATCTTTTTTCTTCTTCGTCTAGATTATGGAGGTCAGTTATTTCCAACATTCTTTAAAATATATATTTTTTTTGTTCCACAGAAAAAAATCATACATGTTTGGAACAGCATGAGAGTAAATGCTGACAGAATTTTCATTATCCTTTCAAATATTACATAATATTTACAAAAGAACTATCAGCTGTGGTTGCCAGAACAACAAAAAATGCAGTGACAATGTTACAAGCATTATGGAATGACATTTTGGTAAATATATTTCGCATCTTCTCACGACAAGTTATTAAATTATTTCATTTTAAAACATAACTGAGCTATTTAAATATTTATATAATTATAAATATAATATTTTATGAATAAATGCAACATAAACACTCTATAAATTAAAAAATATATATTTTTCCGTAATACATATTGCCTTAAGTATAATCCACATTTTATGAGTAAATTATAAAGTGATTCATACATTTTACATTTACTTTTTCAGTATTTTACTGCAAAATTACATGTATTTTTAAACATTTTTTTTTACTTTGTGTGCTAGAATATTAACCAACTGATGGGTGTTTACTGCATTTATATTCCCATTAAAATTACATTTTTACAGTGTATAGGCATTCAAGAAAACAGAGATTATAACCATCCATTATAACAGAAACATATGTTAATATTAGCCAATAATAATTATCACAAAAGCCATTGTTCACTTTAATTATGCAGTACTTCTCTGTTAGTGACAGTGTCTTTGTTCTTTTGTTCAGAACAAGGAATCAAATTAAGATAAATGAAAGATTTTACCTTAGTGGTTAAGTGGCTATATCAAAAATGAAGGGAGGGCCCTATTGAGTGCTGATATTAAATAAAGGCGGGTTCCAATTCTTATCAAAGCGCCCCTGCATCAGCATCCTTTTATCTATCACATGCACATATGGACTCTCAAAGAACATCTAAACTCAAGCTGGATGCAACCATTGCTTCCCCTGAGTCCTTTGAGCTTTACAATAACGCTTCAGCTCTTACTAAGTAAGAAATCATTTAGGCTGTGCAGTAAAATGCAAAGCAATACAAGCAGAATGATTTCAAATACACCCGGTCTCCATTCACTCCCCATCTGGAGGCTTCCCTACCTTGTCTTTTAGAGGAGAGGCGCCCGTTTAGATGCTTTTGCGTCCTTGTCTTTCCATTGTATTAAATGGCAGCGCTGTTTGCAGGTGCAGCGCCGCGCGGACGGATGGAGGGATCGGGATGCCGTGATCAGATGCCGGACCGGGGAATCTTCACTGCCTGCAGGAATAGCGGCTCTTCGGCGTCTGCACGAGCATCACCACCGACTGCGGCTGTGCGAGAGAGGCGCTGGGACTGGGAGGGGTGAGTTTTCCATCTCAGACCAGAAGGTCCCGTCACCTGTGTAATCTGCTGCTTGGAAACTAAAGGATGCCACTGTGTGTAAGGCATTTTCGTGAACACATAGCTTACGTAATTTTATAAAATACTTCATTTTTATTTGTCTAAATTCGCTATAATCACTATCGATTTTTTGGCCAGTCCGCTACTCGCCAGTTTGTTTGATAGAACACTGTAAAAAAAAAAAAAAAAAAAAAAAAAAAATTAAAAAAAATTATATAGCCTATATATAGCTATATATATTGACTTTGATACATGTTTTCATAAATATAATTTTTTTGGTTGGGATAACACTATATTTTGAGTTCTTTCTTTTGATTAAACCAATGTCCATTGATTTAACTCAATTTTTTTATTTCAACAAACTTACTTAAAAAAAAAAAAGTTAAACCACTAATATTTTTACAGCATGTATTTTCCATTTATTCTCCTTATATAGAGATGGACATATTTGATTTAAAAATAGGCTTTATTTATGCTAAATATTATATTTTATATTTAAAAAGTCACCTGTTTATACATCAACACTTAACATTGTCTAAATAAAGTATTCCATTGTAATAATAAAAAACCCTCAAAAAGAAAACAAGATATGAACTCTTAAAGGTGTTTCTCTTTTTAATGACACAGGCCTGGTTTCACAGACAGGGTTTAGATTATGCCAGGATTAGACTTAGTTCAATTAGGACATTTAAGTATAGCTTTTATAAATGTGACTTAGAAAAAAAAAAACATTACTGATGTGCATCTTTCTTGAGACAAAACAATGGCATGACATATTTTAAGGTATGTCAGTGCAAGTTGCTTTCAGTTAAAACATCGCAAACATGATGGGACTAAGATTAAGCTTTTCTGTGAAAATATTCATATTATATTATAGTTTCATATTCTGTCAGGTTTTTCAGTATAGGGAATGCATATTTTAATTATTGAAAATTATAAAAAAAAAAAATTAGACAAATTACAATTAGATTCTCTTTCTTTAAAACACGTCATGAGCAAAAGATTACTGGCTAAATAAAATGTAAAACAAACTTAACAATGTTACTCTTTTGAACGCCGACATATGCAAACACATGTATTACAATGTTTGAATTTAGCTTGCCATGGTAAAATGCAATATATTGGCATTGTTTGTCTAATAAAATGTTTAAAAAAATATTTTCAAAATGGTAAAGGCACCTATTTCGAACGACCCAGGTATTAAAACGTGTCTGTAGGATGAGACCCATTTATCTAGCATCTGACATTCAGACTGCATCTTTCTGCAAAGATGCACATTGTGTTGCTCCCCTGTGAGAGCTATTCTCGGCGCGCGCTATTAACAGCATGCTCATCTGTGTCACCCACTTCCCCCACTATCTTCCCTCTCTCCTCCATTCTCTAACCCCGTGCAGCCTTCGTCCCCATGCCTCTTTTCAGTCTGTGCTATTTCAGACAGACTCACACCTCCTCATAGACTAAGCTGCACAGTCAGTGACAATGCCTGATAAAATCCGCTCGGTATGGGCCTCAAAGGAATTGCTGTTAAGCGCTAATAAATATATGTAATGCTTTATACAAATTTGAAAGAATCAAGCATCAACCTCATTTTTAGCATGGCAAACAGACCGAATAATAGCAAAACAACACACAGAAGAGCGGTCGGATGAAAGGAATGATGCTGTGCCGTTCTCCATCTTGCAGTGATCTGGACCGGCCACCGAGGGGCAATAGTGACCGAGAATGAGTCATCAGCGCTGGGCAAGCCTTGGTTGTGTGTACCGGGGGTCCAATCAAATCGCAGCAGGCTGGTAATAGCTGGTATTTACATGCTTACATGCATACATCCTATCTTGGTGTATACACTTTTATTTCTTTTTCTTTAAAACAGAAAATGATAATTTCACAACAGGCCGTCTCAAGCAAACCCTCACATTAACCTTCCAACATCTACAAAACTGTATCAAAAGTGCACCATAGTGTTATACATCTTTTCTGGTTCTATTCTCATTTTTTTGGCTATATCAGTAATATTATTATAATTCTCATAATATTTATACAAATATCACTCTGTACAAGGTAGAAATACATAACCCGAAATGCCCCGTATCCAGAGCTTGTAGACCCTCCCCGTCATTATAATAACAACACACCCGCTTTCCCCATGCACAAGTCTTCAGCCTCCTCACAGCCACAGGAATCAAAAGGTCGCAGCATGAAAGTCGAACGCATATCATACAGTCGGTTACATTAAAACACATTCTCTCCACAGTAAAGGACTGAACACGAGTGATGAAACGCTCCCACAACGTAAATACAACTGACACACAACGTTCAAAAGGCCTTGCGACTGCATGGCGTCCAGCGTTACGGCTGCGCGGAGACTGGCGAGGGAGGGGTGGGGTGTGTGTGTGTGTGTATGTGTGTGTGTGTGATGCAGCAGGGTTCTGCACAGGCACGCCTGCTGCACAGGTGTCCATAAGGGGACGCCGCTCTGGCCTCTCTCAGTCTCTGGACTGGTAAAACAGGATGTACCCGGACTCAGAGTTCTTGGAAATTTCAGAGGTTAATCCGTAGAATTCTTCAATTGCCTGGGCATCGATTTTCTAAAGGGAGAAACAAAACGATTTTTTCCTTTTAACAAATGCAGGAAGATTATTTTACAATCATCAAGATTGAGCACAAGGACATGGTGGAAGCCATTTGAGTTGAGGCCTAGGAGCAGTGATGGCCTTGACTGGTATATTATCAATACTTTTTGTATTTTCTGACAGACAAACTACACGTTTTAACTGAGTAAAATACTTTGTTAGAACTAAAACACTGGCTTTTGTGAAGGATGATTGATTAAATGTATATAGATCGTTCGTTGGGGACTTGTTGGGGATCTATATATCCATGGATTATACTGTTTGTTGTACTTCTATCAATGTTGATGTTGTATATTGTTTAACCCTTGTGCTGCATTAGATTTTTAACACCGTTGAGTGCATTAAGGACCAAAAATGGCCACATATTAAACATTGCCTAAAATATTATATATTATTATTATTTTCCACTTTTACCAAGTTAAATCTTTTAACCAGCATCAGTCCTCATCATAACTACCAAAAATGTATTCAATTTCAGGATTTTAACCCTTTAATTACCAGTTTTGTTTGCGAAACCATCGATTTGTATAAGAGGAAAAAACACAAAAATTCAATTATTTTCAATAAACTAAATGCTAAGAGAAAACTTTAGATTTGGATTATCACAGTCCCACTTTGCAAAAAATCCCACTTAGCGCGTTAGAGACCAAAAATTGCCACCTATTAAACATTGCCTATTGCCTAAAATAAGGTGCATTTCCACCCATAGGGAATAAATATGTAGTGACGTCATCTGGTGGAATACACTATATAATGCAAATATAATGCTTTTGCTTCAAAATGAAAGGATGTTTGTACAAAAATCATGTTTCATGTATTACTGACACCCTCAGATTTAAACAACGTTTTAATGGGTTTCAATGGGCCATTTTTGGTCTTTATGGTGCTGAGTGTTACTATTTGATCTACACAGTGTGTGTTATACATATTTTGCAAAATGGGATCACATTTTTTACATGTATCCAAAAAGTCACAATTTTGCCAAATTTCATACCATTTGCATTAAAACAGCCAATATGGTCAAAGAAATTAAACTGCAAAAGACCAAAAAATGTCCCTAATGCAGCATAAGGGTTAAGGTGATTTAGATTTATTGTTGAACCTTTGTAAAGCTGCTGAAACATACTTGTTGTATGCAGCAATGTATTAGTGTCTGATGGTTTTTCATATTGGCAATTGATATCAATGTTGTTGTTAATTTTTGTATAGTAACCTCACCTTGATCCCCATTTTGAGCCACCTCAAATAAAAGCAAATAAGGGAACTTTGCGCATTCTAATCGATACCCCGCAGTGATAATTATATATACACACATTCACTTTAAAACTCTGATTTGATGTACTTAACATTATTATTATATATATATATATATATATATATATATACACATACTGTACATACATACATACGTGTGTATATATGTGTGTGTGTGTATAATATATGTGTGTGTGTGTGTATATATATACACATATATAATAATATATATACACACCCAAATATTATCTAATCAATAACTTTTATGCTAGATGCGATAAATCGATTTGTCAGCACTAATACACAAACACACACACACACACATATATACACATACATCTATATGGTGTATTATTTACTAAAGTTTTTTTTATTATTATTTAAGATTATACTTAAACATGCATGTATATATATATATATATATATATACTGTATATGTATATATTTATATATATATATACTGTATATACACACACACTATAATAACTTTGGATTTAATTTAAAAAAAAAATTTTTCATTCAATAATTTGCCAGGCCTGCAAATCATCCATATAAAATCCCCTAATATTTACAGGTTTTCCGTAACTGTGGGAACAATAAATCTCAGTGAAAGACAGGTACTTTTATACATGATGGATGGCAGCTTACCTCTACGATGTCGTCATCAAACAGTAGCCAGAAATCATGACTCTTTACAATTGCGATGTAGTGTCCTCGGTTTGGACCACTGTAAAAGCACACATACATAAAAATAAGCTACCGATCAAGGAAGCAAATCAAGACAGTTCTCCTTTTTTGCAAAGGACAAATTTCAAAAAGCTTATATGAAGAGATTCTATCCACAAGTATTGTGAAATCAGTCAACATTAGGGCTGGTCCGAATACCATTTTTTGAACATCGAATATATGTCTGTCCGTTTGCATTTTGATTATTTCAAGAACCGTTCATCCAAATGACTTCACAAGGGCGCGCAGTGTTGTATTTGGTGCAATATAGATAGACAGGCGAGATGCGACACGTTCAGAATTAATAAACTACAGAACAGCGCGAGCAGGAAGTGGCTCCGAGAACAGACACGGCAAAACACACACACACACACAGGTCTGTTAACTTAAGCAATATTTTTAATAATGTAGTTTAATATTTTTCTCACAAATTACTGACAAAGTAGGGTAGATTTAAATAAAGAAGCGGCCCACCTCACGCAAACAGGGCTTATATGCTCCGAGAATGAACACTACCCTAGTGATATAAAACACACACATACAGGTCTTTTAACTTCAGCAATATTTTCAATAAGGTATGGTCTTATAATATTTTTCTTACGGACAAAGTAGGGTAGAATTATATAAAATAAAAATGAAATTTAAATCAAGAAAAATGAAAGAAATAAAAGAAAAAAATAAATGAATGTCAATTCAAACATTTCAATAACAACATCACACATTTCAATTAACGAACAGTTTAAAATAAAATAAATTCCCTTATATAGAATTAAACAAACTGTAAACAGAACAAGGTGATTTAAAATCATTCATGCGATTGCGTTCGATTAATACTTTCAATTAATGCGTTCAACTCATGGGCAGTATAACTGGTCTCAAAGTCTCCTATATTTCGCAGTAGATTAAATTTAGATTTTATAATGACGGGTCGGGTAAAAAGGATAATACATTTTGTTTCTATTATTCTTTTTTCCACAATGTCAAAGCAACACAGTTTAACCCAAAATACAAGCTCAGGCATGCACCTCTGTCCACACACACTCCACTGTTCTGCCCTCTAGCCAGAGAATACTCCCGTTGCAGGAACACTTTTAGTAGTCCAAGAAGAAGCAAATATATTTATTAAGTAGCTATAACAAAGTTATATGTTAAGTATTATATTTCAGCAGATTTAATAGTGTAAAACATATTCAAGCACGAATGAGAACCGTTTCGAGGGGGGTGCCAGGTAAGAAAAAAAAAAAAAACAACAACAACGAATATTCGAATTTCACATTTTCAAATCGAATACCAACCCACCGAACGAATATTCGAATATTCGGGTCCAGCCCTAGTTAACATAGGAGGAAGAAAACGTATAAAGGTCTGAAAGTCCATTCTGGCTTCCTGGTTTCCATCAAAATCTGTAGTCACTCACCTGCCACAATGCACCACCACAGCGACCAGGTCGTAAAGCCTCTCGGGATTGGTGGCGTCGCCAGAGGTGTTAAAGAGGCGGAGCTCCAGAGGGAAGACCACGCGGTAGCTTAGCTTAGTGTAGCGCTGCAGCTGCTCCATGTATTTAAATCTCTTCAAGTGCAAGGCGAGGATCATGGGAAGTTTCTTAACCCGCATTCTAGAGTCGAACACAGACAGATATTCACGTATTCAGTATATTCGCTACATATTTAGTAAAAATATCAGGAAGCAGCTGACAGAAATGAATGTGTACCTTTTGTGTGCCTCCTGTTTACTTCTGCATTCCTCACAGTAATATTTATACTCACTGCACAAGGTCTCTGTATTACTGAAACCTCTATAAGGGGCCAGTAAGAAAAAGAATAGCTTAGTAAAATGGACACATATTCATGTTTGCAAGTGTGTGTGTGTGTGTGTGTGTGTGTGCTTTCGGACCTGAGACAGTGTGTGATTGAAGTGTTCTGCTCCACGTCCACTGACAAATCCAAGAAATCCTCATCTTTGCTGCTTATCTGTAAGAGAGCAAAGTCCAAAGACCCACTTCAGACCAAAGCACAGCCAATCACAGTCAGCAGAATTATCAGGATCCTGTCTTATTGGACGATATCCAGTTAAGTTAAATGATTTGCAATTACCGTCTCGCAGGTTAGGCATCGTGTCTCGTTGGTCAGCGTGCCCTGGAAGATCTCATGAACCCAGGTGGAGGAGGATGGGGTGCTGTTATTGTTCTGTGAGTCAAGTGTGCCATTGGCCAGTTTGCCATTCTGCTTGTCTTGCTTGCGCTCTTCTTGTAGCAAGTCTGCTATAGTGTTCAGCAGGTAGTTGAGAAACTCATGTGCGTCTTGTTGCATGTAGTTATCAAACAGTTCTGCGAGGTGACAGGGAGAAAAAAATGTTGCATAAAATAACACAAGGAATCATGTCTTTGGCCTGGTTTACACCTGGTAAGGTGTAGTTCACTTTTGCTGATAATTTACTCACCCCCATGTCATCCAAGATGTCCATGTCTTTCTTTCTTCAGTCGAAAAGAAATTAAGATTATTTTTGATGAAAACGTTCCAGGATTTTTCTCCATATAATGCACTTTACTGGTAACCAAACAAGGTCCAAAAGAAAGTTTCAGTGCAAACTGTTGAAAGGGCTTTAAACGATTCCAGACGATGAATAAGGGTCGACTCTTATCAAGCGAAACGATCGCTCGTTTAATAAATAAATAACAAAGTTTAAGTTTTATAAGCTCAAATGCTTGCCTTGCTCCATTCTGTGTGACTCTCCTGTTCGAACTCATTCATCAAAATGAAGAAATCATTTCATACTTGAATGAACCAAATGACTCGAAAAAAGATTCGTTCATTTTGATAAACGACTTCGAACCAGAGAGTCACAAACAGAGCAAGGCGACCATTTGAGCTTATAAATCGTAAACTTTGTTATTTTTTTTAAATGAGCGATCGTTTCGCTTGATAAGACCCTTATTCATCGTCTGAAATCGTTTAAAGCCCTTTGAACAGTTTGCAGTTTGCACTGAAACTGTCTTTTGAACCGTTTGGTTACCAGTAAAGTGCATTATATGGAGTAAAATCCTGCAATGTTTTCATCAAAAACCTTTTTCGACTGAAGAAAGAATTACATGAATATCTTGGATGACATGGGGGTGAGTAAATTATCAGCAAAAGTTTTTTTTAAAAGTGAACTACTCCTTTAAGATGCATTTCGGTCGTTCGGATCACAAGTGGACGACACTAAATACAAGTGTAAATAGGTTCTAAAACGTTTTGAGCTTGTCCACTTTAAGAGGAAAACACATTCTGAACAGCCACAAAAGACCGCCTACTCTCCGTCTACTGGATTAATGCGAAAACATTACGCAAGAGTGTTAGCCAGACAGGATTTCAATTTTGACAATAAAAGATCCGAGTTTGTTTTGAAGACAAAAATGTCCCAAGTAAGAAAGATCTGAAGAAACCATACATTTAACCACCCATAGTCCCTCCCCCTCGAAGAAATCAGGACAGAAGTGGTTGAAAGTGAGTGAACAAAAGAGACAGATTAAAATACCAGGTGCAAACGGGAATGTGTCTACCTCGTCTACTTCTACAAAATACATCTTAACATCAGGAGTAAATGGGGCCTTTAAGAATCAAATCGTGTCGAAAAAAACACTTAAAATTTACATTTCTAATTTAATTCGCTTCATTTAGATTATTGCGGTCTTTAAAACTTCAAGTCAGAAATATCTTAAGTCACTTACAAGTCAATGACCCGAGATACCGAGTTGACGTTGAATGTGGGTGTCCACAAGGCAGAAAACAACTCCGAAATAGATGGTTTTGCGATACTACGATTACATTGCTGTATTTCAAAAATATTAAAGCTATATGGTAACATTTATAACAAGGTTCAATTTGTTAACATGATTTAACAATGAAAAAATATTCAAAACATTTACCAGTAGTTTATTTAAATTAAAAGTTGGATCTATAAAATATTTACTGCACCTGAGCTGACATGAACTAATATCGTATTTTTAATAACCACCAGAAAGAAAGCAAGGTTAATCAATACTGTAACAGTTAAATTGCTCCTGGATAGTTCATGCTAGTTAATGCATTAACTAACTAACATTAATTAATGGGACCTTATTGAAAATTGTTAACGTTTTGTGTAAGACCTAGCATATATTTAACTATTTTATTGTTAATGCAAATTCAAAATGTAATTCAAATGTGCACACTATATATGTTATATATATTTGGTTAAAGGTGATGCAGCTGTTACGACTTGAATGCATCGTAAGAACAACTTCATGTGCTGTACCGCTTTAATGTTTCTGACCTAGAACTAGCATCCATGAAACCGAGAAGTAACAGAGAACATTAAACTGAATTTTAGTACAATCCCTTCCTGCTCATCTTACCATTCTCTTTCCGTAGTCGTGTAATGAACTTCTTCGGGGGTATCACGCCAACTTTCCTCTTCTGGTTGGCTATACTGTGGAACAGGTCGGCCAGGCAGGTGAGCAGGTTCTCCTTCCGGCGCGGCTGGCTCCTGTACGCGAGGATCTTCTCCCGGAACGGCCGGCAGAAGTACAAAGCTTGGAGTACAGAGTTACAGTAGCAGGTGTTTCCAAACTGTGGATCGAAACACACAGAACACACACAGTGAAACCAGAGCATGACGAGAAACATGGAGGAGATGATGGTAGACAGCAGGAAACGCCTTTGCTTACGTTGACCAATCCGAAGTAATGCTCGTTGACAGGGAACTGCTCCGAGCCAATCTCTTTCTCCAAAGCGGAGGCATTGGCGCCCTGAAACGAAACAGGTGAACAGTTGTTCAAGTTTTTACACCTGCTTACCATCGGATAGAGAATCCCTTACAAAAATGATCATGAAAACCACACTTTTTACCACATAGTTATTGTTATGATACCGTTTTATATTTTATATATGTTATTTACCTAATAATTCTTTATATTTGAAAGCTGATAACCAATATATTGGCTGATCCACATTTTTTTATGATTTTTTGAGAGCCTGATTACAAATCAAAAGTAACTTCGACATAAATTAAACAGTATAGTTAGTAACCTAGTTTGAACCGGTGTAAGTTTTAAAATTAATTTTACACCTACAGTCTAACTTTCTTTATCAAATAAAAACTATTGTCTTACAAATAAATAAAAGTAATGCTTAAATAATGCAAACAAGTAATTGGACAACATTACTTGCATACAAAGAATCAAAATGCATGTGCCATGGTTAAATAAATTGGATTTTAATTAAATAATGAAGTGATTTTAATTAAACCATATTGTTGATGAAAATAATATGAGAAAAATAAAAGTGCTAGTTATTATTATTAATGCATCAATGTTTTTGAAAAAGAAACTAAATCTAAAATCAAGCCTATTTGACAAGCTTGCATTGCACATGTTGTGCTTAACTGTATTTTCCCTTTTGAATTGATTCCAATCATATTTTAAGTAATCCAAATCCATTATGGTGAACAGTGTGCATCTGAAGTCTCGGATGTATTAAATAATTCATTTATCATAACGATAACATTAAAAATGAATGTATATCGGCCGATACCGATATGGTGGTATACTTAGTTTCTAAAATAAAACTATGGTAGGTTTATATTACACACCACTTTCTTAAAAATAAATAAATAAAATGACTAGAAAATGAGCAGTGTTTAGAAGGAGATACTATTAAACCTATTGTGGTCAATAGTAGTAACTGATATTGTGTGTGATATTGGAGCTATATTCACCATGGTAAATTGCAAAAGACGTTTGTGTGACGTGCATTTGAGACACTTTTGGTCAGATTGCAACATCCATTGATTAAGAATTAATGTTTACATAACTGCAATAGCCAACCACAAAAAAACACGTAAATGTGAACATAAAAACAACGCTATTAAAAAATATATACAGCACAAAATTATTATTATTATTATTTTTTGCAGCAGGTAAAATTACATTAGCAGTCATTAGCATTTCACTGTCGTCGTTTTAACACTTAAAAACGTCAAATGCCATGGTAAAAATGGAATTAACAATTAAAACGCAGATAAAGCAAATAAGATATGGAGGCACATATTGGGTAACGTTAGGAAGAAGCAGAGAGGGGATGGGACCATGAAATCACGATGTGACCGACCTGGCAACAGCTTACTTAGCACTGAAGTAACGTTACAGGTACACTGAACGCGTTTTACATCATCATGATGCTCACGTTTGCAACACAATGCTTATCTGAAAGCTTGTACTCATTTATTACACATAAATAACAACCTGAGATTATTTAGATGTCACTGTCTCGCGCTTATTAAGCACATCTCGCGATCATAACCCGTGCTGAATGACACTTCAGCTCAGCAGTTAGCAGATCTCTGCTTTGCTGCCTTCAGCAAATCCCATAAGGACGGGCGAATTTAAAAGCTTAACGTTGTGTTACAAATACATTACGGTCGTTTCGCAAATCTTCCCAATTACAAAAATAATTTAGGCCCAAGTCAAAATTCATAGCAGGCACACAGACGGAAAGACAGCTCGCAACTGCAGCAGAGGAAAACTGGCAACCCAAGGAGTCTGATTCCCAGAACTAATGCAGCACGCGACAGATTACAACATCACGCGTGTACTGATGTACAATTATCCGTGACTGAAGTGATATTTACTTACCATGGTACAAAAAGAGGCAAATTTGGAAACTGTCATTAGGATTTCCATTCGCCCAGCGCCATCTTCCACCCAATCACCGCGCGGAGGCGAAAAGGAGTCCCCGTGAGGACAGACTGCGCTCCTGCCAGAGGGAACTGCGCGGGGTCTTAGTGCCCCCGCGTCTGATTGAGTTATTATTCAAATCATTTTGGCATTCATAAACAGTGGCATAAAGAGAATACAACAAAACATAATATAAAAATATGAAATTAGTTAATACATGTCAGATATTTTTTATTAAAAAACCTTTTTATATACAATAGAAACAAATAGAACACATTAATGAACACATAAAGACATGTATATACATTATGCTGTTTATTTGATAGTATATTCAATTCAGCAGATAGCTTGTGCGGTGATATTTTTTAAGTCAGGATTTGTTTTAATTCATTACATTGTTTCCCCCCCCCCCCATTAACTTAACCCAGTTAATGTTTTTTTAATTAAAAACAAGTATAAATCTACACTTACAGAGCTTGCCGACTGTTGTGTTTTTTATGTTGATGCTTATGTCAGGATCATAGATTGGTCAGTATTTTTTAATTCAATGCATTTTAATTACAAATTAAATTTTTTTAAGTGTTTTCGTCAAACTAACCCAGTTAAAGCTGCTTATTTAAAATATTTAAAGAAAATTGTTGTGGCATTGTGGGATTAATGTTCATTTGAGGCATAATTTAATTCATTTATTAAATTTTTAATTAAAAAAAAACTTAACCCGATTTTAAACCTTCTCGTTTATTTTTTTTTTTTTTTTATTTTTTATAAATCCACTTGATTCTTTGGAATATACTTATATCTCTCATGGTAGGCTTTCGCAGGCAGGTTAAAAATATGGAATGGAAAATCGTCAAATAAAAAACTATTTTTGTATTGCGCTGATATCACTGCCCGTGAAGCAACAGCTCAAACACTGCTATTTTTACTCAGGCAAATAAGTAGTCTTCCTATTCGTGCTTTGAAGGGAAGGCCACAGGACCCCATCATTCTCTTTCCGCCGTACCCGCCATCTTGCGAGCAACCAGGGGTAAGATGTGCTCCAGACATTATATGTTAAATCCGTAGTTACATGCCTCTCATTGAGCAAAAGTTCAACACAAAACGCCCAAAAAAATACATAGCCTTGCATGGCATCGAAATTAAGTTCGCATGTATGTTGTTGGATGCCGTAAAGAGCAAAATACAGAGTCGAGATGCAGCGTGTCCGTTCCATGTGGGCCATTCGTGGACAGGCTATGAGAGTCGGTGGTTAAAAAAAAAAGTCAAATATTTTGGATTAATGTATATGTTGTATTTTGAGCACGTAGAATTTTTTTAAGATATTTCTTAGATATCGCATCACTTTGGTTCCTTCTTGTCGATGTATTTCTTGGTCATGAACTGAATTTTCCTAGGACTGTAACGTTAACAATCTAATGTCAAAAACACTTGTCTTGATGTGTTCATAGTCATACTTTAACTGTCTTTAAAGATTCATTGCTCATCGTTATTGTAATAAATATTACGTTACATTCAAATATTCTGTACAGTCAGTGATGCCTAAAGGCTGTTAACTGAATATATTAAAAATACTCTAGTATTGTAGTTGGATATCAAGCGTAGTGTTTGAGAAGTGATTGAGAACTACTCTTATTTTTTTTTTTGAACAAGGAACTTTTTCTAACTGTATTTTTGCCTCTCTTGCACGCAGTAATCAGGCATCATGACAAACACCAGAGGCAAGAGGAGGGGGACCAGGTATATGTTTGCCAGGCCCTTCCGCAAGCATGGTGAGTTCACTTGAATTGTGCTTTATGTATTTTGTACTGAACTTTAGCATATAGACATGTTTATATAAAACATTAGACCTGATATTGCTTATTATTCCACAACAGGTCCAATCCCTCTGTCCACCTACATGCGCATCTACAAAAAGGGTGATATTGTAGACATCAAGGTAAGTTTTAGTAAAAGAAAGTTGTTTTAGTGTACTTTTTAAGGATTGAGACAATTTCTAAGATACACATCTTTTTATCCAGGGCACAGGAACAATCCAGAAGGGAATGCCTCATAAATGCTACCATGGCAAAACAGGACGTGTTTATAATGTTACACAGCATGCTGTAGGCATCATTGTCAACAAGCAAGTCAAGTAAGTACTGCCCTGAACATGACATTTCAAAGTAAAGTTACACCTGTCAGACAAGTACAGAAACCACATGGGTTAGTGTTTCTACATATATTGCTGTTGATGCCACTTTTTGTATCTACTAAACTCTTATCATATGAGTGTTCACGAGAGGGGTGTTGTGATTACCATCACGATCGCTGTGTGTGACGTCAAACAAAGTGGCAGCCATTCACTTGCATTTTAAATGTGTATATATAATCTTGTGTAATGCCCCAGATTCACTTTGCCATAAGGGCCATCCAGTGTCCTGTGTGGTCATTCATATGGGGAAGAGCAGTCATCCTTATGCACCCTGGATTAGCACATTAATGCCTTTACCAGATTGTCAATAAGGAAACATGCCTCTCTTTGATAAAGCTTGTAAACGCACACCAATTCTTGTTATTTAAGTGATTAATTCTTGTTGAAGTGACCATTTACTGGTTTTCCTTCTAGGGGCAAGATCCTGGCTAAGAGAATCAATGTGCGTATTGAGCATATCAAGCACTCAAAGAGCAGAGACAGCTTCCTGCAGCGCGTTAAGGAGAATGAGAAGAAAAAATTGGAGGCCAAGAAGCAGGGCACCTGGATTGAGCTTAAACGCCAGGTATGAGAACTTGGAAATTGATTGCTTTTACTTTTATATGGACAAATGTGCATAGTGAAACCATGCGTTTCATTGAACTCCCTGATGTAAACATTAGGTTTCATGTTCGAATGTTGCAAATGGTTGATTGAATACAATTAAAAAGCCAATATATTTCATCAAATATACATTAGTTAAAATGACGCAATATGTAAAACATGGCATTATTACAGCTCTGGCTGATGTTCTTTGGTTGTGGTGTTGTCATCTTGTTTTCAGCCTGATGCTCCACGGTCAGCTCACTTTGTCAGCACCAAGAACAACGAGCCTCAGCTCCTGGAGCCCATCCCTTACGAGTTCATGGCATAAGTCTGCGGGCCGAAATAAAGACCTTTGTACTACATAAATCTTGTTTGAAATTCTTTCTTTAACCATTTATTCCATTTAATTGTATTTGTTATGAGGATAAATCTTTTGTTAATGATGCAAATTGATAGCAAAATACAATAGTCTTTTAAAAAAAGGTATGAAAGCTCTCACTTGGGTGGTACCCCTTCAAAAACTAAGACCCCGTTTACACCTGGTATTAAAATGCGATCTGTATCCAGATAAGTTATCCGGATAATAAGTACTGATTCCATTTACACCTGGCCACATAAATGTGTTTTTGCAAAACGGATATAAATCCGATCTTCACCTCCTGCGTTATATGCAGATTTAATGGATTGCACGCCACCAAAAGCAACAGATCTGAGCGGCATTTTATTGATCATCAGCTAATTTCCAAATCATAGACATCAATAAGAGAGAGTGGCAACAGGCCTGGTAAGATCATTTCGTTTCTTTACTTGAAGATGTGTTAACTGCGTCTGTGACTTACTTTCACTTTTATTTGCGATGTTTGCACGTTGAATAGACGCTAAGCTGCTCATCTGCGGTGATGCGTGTCGCATCTGACTAGGCTATAACATGACATATAGCCTATATAACACGCGCTCACTCGTTTATTTTTTAGCATTTTTGGGAGGAGTAAAATATACATATGTGGTTTCAACAACCAGATTGCGTTTACACCCAGTAAAGATCCGGACACAATGCGAGCCAGACTACCTCCAGATGTGGTCAGGCAGATCCGATCACAACGCGTTTACACCTTGCATTAACATGCGTTTTTTATTATCCGGATAACTTATCTGGATACAGATCGCATTTTAATACCAGGTGTAAACGGGGTCTAATATGCAGCATTTAGGCCAGGGCTAAATGAGGTACAAAGATGTTCCTTTTGAAAGGTTGTATTTTCCTTCAGTCCCTTTACTTGTTTAGGATCATAATTTGTATAATATTAATGTAACAGCTGTCTAACCAAGCCATTATATTCTGTTGAAGGATATTCCTAGATAAGGGCCTCTTGGCTTTGCTTTGGATCGGAAACTTTTTTTTTTTTAAGTGCATGAAGTGGCCAAAACTTGGTCCAAAGTTTTTGCAGCTAATCACAAGATGTTTTGTTTATTGTCATGGGTTATTTCAAGATCCAGATGTGATACTATTTTGGCCTTTTCTCCTTTTAGCTGTTCTCTCATACAGCCTAAAATCAGCAAAATACAGAAAGAGAAAATGGCTGCAATTTCAGCAAAATAACAAGCTCTTACCAGTGTTCCAGCTGGCCTTATGTTGAATTGGTCACTTAGAACAGCCTGATCTTTGTTGTTTTAAGTCATTTCCTATCTTTTATGAAGTGCTTGACTGAATCTTGAAAGGTTACATTTTTCCAATTCTTTTCAAAACCAGCTCCAGAGTTTGCTAAATGTTCTATTGTTCTTTAGTCTACGCAACTGCTCTTACCCGTATTGAGAACCTATAAAGGTGGAACATAGTGGAAAATTGAACAGAGGTGGGTTAAAACATGAACAAAAATGTACCTTTTTAGTGTAGGTATTCTGATGTCTCTGGGTGATTACACCTTGTGTGATACAATACAATGATATTGGAAGTAGATTTGTAAGTAGGCTACATTTCTCCACATGAATCAAAAATGTGTATTTTATTCGCAAAACAGTGGAATAAGAACAAACAAGATTTTGTCTATATGGTAGTTCATATAATCTGTCACTAGGAGGCAGCGTTAGCCTTAATCCTGACAGAATGAGTCCCGTTTAACTCAAAAGATCCTTGAGTTGGTGTGATGAAGACTAATACTGAAAATAATCCTTGCATATCTAATCTATTTATTAGACTCGTGAGTGGTATTGCTTTTAAAGCATGGATCAAGACTGTATTAAAATGTTTTAAATGAGTTTTGTAGTCATCAAAACGCATTGATAAGGCTGA